CACATCCCCAGACGTGTCAGTATCTTAAAGTCCGTGCACAGCAAGAGAAGGGTACAAACAAGAAATAAACAACTTCACAATCAGATATCTCTGCTCTTAAATATCTTATTGTCTCTAATATCTATTTCTTGCCTTTTTCCTTCTCCTCCCCGTAACAGAATTATGGATCCAAGCTTATTGAGGGAGCGAGAGCTATTCAAAAAGCGTGCCCTCTCCACACCAGCAGTAGAAAAACGTCCAGCGCCATCTTCTGACTCCTCTTCTTCAAAAAAGAAGAAAGCGAAGGTAGAACAAGGTGGTTCATCAAGCTCAAAACAAAACACAGGTCGGTGAAAGTCTCCTGTTCAACAGCTGTTTGGGATTTTCTACTATCCGTGTCTAAGCTATGGTTTATTAGTATGAATCGGTCTGTGAATTTTGCTAGTGGCTGTTGTCATTCTTTCTCTTAAATTGTCACTAACTTTTTGTTAAGAAATTCACTTATGCAGTGGGAAAAAAACACTTTCACTACCACATTATACATGTCAGACCTCATCCTGTGACTTGTTTGCTGTTACTCGGTTGGAGAAATCGCTACTGCTAAAATATTATTCCATATGAAGCTGAGGTTTGATTTGTGGATTTCAGTGCTTGCTGGACCCATAGGACAAGCAGTAACAGTGGTCTTGTTCTTTTTCTCTTCTCTGTCTTTCTGGCAAGAGAGTGCCTAAAACTTAATTTTGTTTGCTCTTAAGTCATAGGCTATCCATCTATGAGATGGATTTTGCAACTTTACATCTTGTCTGGCTAGCATATTGTGATTAGCAGTCATTCTTGTTTTACCCGGAAGCTAATCTTTGTTAATGAACACCAGGACTTCTGTAGGTTTTTGCTTGCTTTCGTCAGGAGTTTCATCCTTTCCTTGGGATCTCTCAATATCAAATAACCAGTTAATAACCAGCACCAAAATAGTGGGAGCAAAGGAAAAATGCAGCATCTGGAGCAGCAGGGAGAGGATTTGTGTGCACGCAGCAGCATGCTCTGCGTTTGCTTTCACTGCGAGACGTGGAACCTGGGGGGGCCTTTTCAGTTCTCTGAAAGCACTGATATTTCTCGGATGCACTCTAAAGGTCCAATCAAATGTCAGGAATTACTGAAACACGAAATACCCTGTTGTACAAAGTCATTGCACGCTCATATTTTGAATACTATGCGTGGCTCTCTTGTAAACTCCAAAACAATAAGAGGTAAAAACAACAGAGAAAACCTCAAGGACGATGGGAGGAGTGGAGCATCTTC